AATACATCAATTTATTAGTTCAAAAAAATATCTATAAAAATAAGTTTAAAATATTAATTTATTTTTTAAAATTAGGAAAAATACGAAGCCAGAGAGAGCGCGAGAAAAAAAGGCTACGTGGGTTGAGCGGATAGAGAGCTCCATGTAACCATCGATCAAAACTTGCAAACCACCTCGTCCGAGGAAGAAGATAGATTGATAAACCTTGTGAGAAGAGGGAACAGCGAACCCTAGCCCTAATGGAACACAATGGCGAATTTGCTGTTCTGCCTCTGCGTTTTGATTTGTCCACTTCTTGAACCCGGGATGGTCAGCTTCATTCCTCTCCCCACCTGATTCCCCCCTGAAAAATTAGGTTTCTTCCGCCCCGCAAATACGCTCCCGCGCCCACCGGCCGCCGGCTCATCCCCTTTCTCCGATCATCGCTCAATCCCCAACCCATCGAATTCGCATCCTTTGCCTCATCCGCGATCCTCCTTTCTCTTCTTGATTCTCCCATTACAGAGGCCGAAAACAATTCGATTCATTCGATCAAATTCTTGAATCGTGACGGGAGTCGAATCAATTGCCCGTAGATTCTTTATCTGGGCCTCCCCTGTTTAGGGTTTCCATTGTCAATGATTCAAATTCATTTGTTTCTCAAAGGGCTCGATTTCTCCTGCGGAGCATTGCTGAAGTGAGCCAATATTTAAAGAAAACGCCAATGCTGGAGTTGGGCTGTAAAAGAATTGGATAAGATTCGGAAGATTTGTTTCATAATCGGCTATTCGTGTTAATCTTTATTATTTTATAATTAATTTATTTATTTTTTGACTATTTTGATACATCAAGAGATGCAACCGATCATCTCGGATCAACAAGGACGCATCAATCTCAATGAGATCAAGTTGCAGATTTTAAAGCAGATTGGCCCGGATCGAACACGGGAGTATTTCCGCTCCCTGACCAAATTCCTATCTCAGGAACTAACGAAATCTGCATTTGACAAGTTCTGCCTCATTGTTCTTGGTCGAGGAAACATACCATTGCATAACCATCTCATCCGCTCAATCCTCAAGAATGCATACAGGGCAAAAACACCTCCACCCGTCCGTGAAAAGTCTGTCTTCAATCAAACCGGAGCTTCTGCAAACACATCCCTTCCTGGAAACAAGCCAATAAGCCTGTCACAACCAACAACACCACCCGTCCGTGAAAAGTTTGTCTTGAATCAAACCGGAGCTTCTGCAAACACATCCCTGCATGTAAACAAGCCTTTAAGCCCGTCACAACCAACAACACCAGCTTCGCCTAACCAAATCAATGGTGACATCTTACCTCCATGCCCGCGCAAGAAGAGGACCGGGAAGAGCCCTCTGGGATCAAATGGAAGGGCCGATGAAGCGAAACCTGCAGATATTTCTATTAAGGAGAATGGCGTGGCGGGTCCTTCTGGTTTCAAGATACCGATGCAACATGTTCAGAGTGGATCTGCAACGAAGCCGCCAAAGCATCGACGCGGAGCGATTTCATTGTTTCGTGATCATATTTGTGAGCAGAGGAAGCGCCGGCTTGAAGCTTCTGAAATGGAAGAAGGGAAAAGGATAAAAATCAAGGAACTCAATTCCATTCAGGCGCCCATTGGAGTTTCTTATGGACCTTCTAGTGTTGGGGGGAAAAGGAGATCTTTTCCTTCGGCTGTAGCTTGTAATCGTGATAATGGCGAGCTGTACAATTCCGAGGATTTAAAAAGATCGATGGAAAGAGTAGCAGAAGCACAAGGAATAAAGGTGACGTTGGGCTGTGCTGATTTACTGAATAGAGCATTGAATGCTCATTTAAAGCGCATTATAAAGTTTACTATTGCGCTAGCAAGGGGCAGATCAATGCACAAGCCAACAAAAGATCCTGTTTTGAGGCAACAATTTAATGGCAGACCACTCAATGGTATTTGGGCTGGAAATCACATGAAATTACAAAACGGTTTAGAGTCTATGAATGTCAACAATGTTCATAGGAACCAGTACATGATTTCCATGCAAGATTTTCAGGCTGCAATGGAGCTGAATCCGCAACAACTCGGTCACAACTGGCCGTCACTACTTGAGAGGATAAGCCTCCATTCATTCAAAGAATAACAGAACTCCGAGCCAAATTTCTGAGGGTGGAAACCTCTTCATTTAACAGTTTCGGTTTGATTTTTTTATTCGTTGATTGAATGTTAGTTCCTTGCATTATTAATGTTTCTTAGCCAACCATTGCGGCACCAGAAACAAGAAGGACAAGTGACCAGAGGATACATAATTTGGCTCATTTGCTGTATAATAATGCCAAAGCTTGAAGCTTTGCATGTAATTAACGGGCAGCATGGAAAAAGATTTAGACAGTTTTGCAGAGAAGCTGACTTTTAGCTAAAGTTAGGTGCAATGTTTTTTTCTGTGCACACAGGTACCTCTGTACATCTTTTCAGTTTGTGAAACTGCTTCAGCAGTTTCCGCAGTGGATGTGTATTGCCAATTCATGGCTCATGATATTTGTTTTTTCTTTATTGAATCGATAATTCAGCTTTTTTATTTCTTTAATGATTTCTTTAATGTCGTTTGGAATCATTGGGATCATTTTTATTTTCTAATTTTTTTTAGTTTTGTATGTTTTATTTTATTTTATTTTTTTTGACACAAAATAAAAATGTTTTTAATTTTGCTTATAATTTTTTTGCATTTTAAAAATAAAAAAAATTAAAAAATATGTTTGAAAAAATAAAAATAAAAAATTATAATTATCCCCTCCACTTTCTCCTTCTCGTTATCATCATCATCATTCTCCTCCTCTTCCTCCATCAACCCCCTTCACCACCCCTGCCTCCGCTCTCCTCCATCTGTCCACTGTCAGACAAAGCTTTTCCGCCCGCGAAAGCATTGTGGCTTTTCTTCTATAATCTTACTATTAATGTCGATCGGCTTTACTTCACTCTTCTTCGCCGCTCCTCATATCTTGATCATCTCCCTCATCGAAATCTCTGTAATGGTTGTTAGCCGGCAATGCAAAGTAAGGAGGAGAAGTAGAGCAGAAAATGTTGGAAGATGGAAATCAAGAAAAAGATGACGAAGCAACATCGTCGGAGAAGAAAAAGCCATCCAAGAAAGCATCGGTGTCGTGTGTCTGGCGACGAAGGCATCGGCATCGGCGCCAACATAAAAGAAGGCACCGGAGATGTGTGGGAATGGTGGTCACGATCAAGATCACGATTGATTGAGATAGGTGAGTAGTTGTTTGAAAACAAAATAAAAAATAATAAAATAGATAATAAAATATGAAATAATCATATATTTTTATATTATTATTATTATTTAAAATAAAAATAAAAAATGATTCCAAGCATGACCATTAGTTTGCCTACAATTTCATTTGTGCATCATATATATATATATATATATATATATT